GGCGAGAAATGAAGGTTGGGGGGACCCAAGAACAATGTTCTCTGGGGTGGGGATGTCAGGCCAGGAGGGGGGCGTGGTAATTTCTGGGCGAGAAATTTGGGGTGGGGGGTCACAAGAACAGAGCTCGCCGGGTTTGAGCATGCAGGCCAGGCAGGAGGCGTTGGTAGGTTATGGGCGAGAAATTGTGGGGTGGGGGTCCCTTAAAACCTAAGACGAGCATCCTGGGGTGGGGATGTCAGGCCAGGAGGGGGGCGTTGGTAGGTTCTGAGCGCGAAATTACGGGGTGGGGGGTCCCAAAAACAGAGCTCTCCCAGGGTGGGGATGTCTTTCCAGGAGTGGGCCGTTGGTAGGTTCTGGGCAAGAGTTGTGGGGTGGGGGGTGTCAAAAACAGAACTCTCCTGGGGTGGTGATGTCAGGCCAGGAGGGGGGCGTTGGTAGGTTCTGAGCGAGAAATTGTGGGGTGGGGGGTTTCAAAAACAGAGCTCTCCCGGGGTGGGGATGTCAGGCCAGGAGGGGGGCGTTGGTAGGTTCTGGGCGAGAAATTGTGGGGTGGGGGGTCCCACAAACAGAGCTCTCCCGGGGTGGGGATGTCAGGCCAGGAGGAGGGCGTTGGTAGGTTCTGGGAAAAAAAATGTGGGGTGGGGGGTCCGAAAAACAGAGCTCTCCCGGGTTGGGGATGTCAGGCCAGGAGGGGAGCGTTTGTAGAATCTAGGGGGGGAAATTGTGAGGTGGGGGATCCCAGAAACAGAGCTCTCCCGGGGTGGGGATATCTTTCCAGCTGGGCAAGAATTGTGGGGTGGGGGTCTCAAAAACAAAGCTCTCCCGGGGTGGGGATGTCAGGCCAGGAGAGCGGCGTTGGTAGGTTCTGAGCGAGAATTTGTGAGGTGGGGGGTCTCAAAAACAGAGCTCTCCCGGGGTGGGGATGTCAGGCCAGGAGGGGGGCGGGGGTCTCAAGAACAGAGCCCAGAGGCTTGGGGGTGTCGGAACCAGGTGGGGGCGAGGTGGCGGCCAGGGTGTGGGTGGGTGGGTGGTATGGGTCGATGTCGGGTGAGAAATCGTGGGGTCGGGAGTCTCCAGAACAGAGCCCAGAGGCCTGGGGGTGTCGGGGCCAGGTGGGTGCGAGGTGGCGGCCAGGGAGTGGCGGGGTGGAGGGTATGGGTCGATTTCGGGCGAGAAATCGTGGGGTCGGGGGCCGCAAAAACAGAGCCCAGAGGCCTGGAGGTGTCGGGGCCAGGAGGGGGTCATGGTGGGGGCGTCGGTCGTTTTTGGGCGAGAAATCGTGAGGTCGGGGGTCCCAAGAACGGAGCCCAGAAGCTTTGAGGGTGAGGGTGTCGGGGCCACGAGGGGGTCATTGTGGAAGGCGTCGGTCGTTTTTGGACGAGAAATCGGGGGGTCGGGGGTCCCAAGAACAGAGCCCAGAAGCCTGGGGGTGAGGATGCCAGGGCGTGATTGGAGCGTGGCAGGAGCGTGGTGGGGGGCGTGGTTGGGGGTATCGGTCGGTTTTGGGCGAGAAGTGGTGGGATGGGGGACAGGGGGGCCCAAGAACAGAGGTTCCAAGGAAGGGAGCCAGGAGGAGGGCATCGGTCGGTGGCTGCTTGAAAGGAGAAGCTCACGATGAATGGCTCTAGCACGCACTCTCCCTCACACGCCTCTGGGGTCGGCGGATTTGAAAGGAGGGGGGACGGAGGGGCGTGACGAGGCCCGAAGGGAGCTCTGGAATTCACGTAAGTCCTGACTCGTTTGCACACCTTTCCGGCCCAGCGCTGTTCAAAAAGGCGGCGGAGAAGGGGGGGATTGCCATGCAAGCAACTTTGCCTGAGCCTGAAGAGAAACGCCCTCATCTCGCATTGTCACTTGTGCTATCTATTGCCCCCCCTTTTTGTCCGACGATAGGTGCGTCGGCTCATCTCCATTATCTTCGGGGGTGCAGCCGCCGGTCTTGGCCAGCTTCTGGGGTCCCAGATGGTCCTCAAAAGGAAACCCTCTGCGTTCCCCGGGTTCGCCCCACGGCAGCCGCCGACCGCCCCCGGCGCCGCGCTCGCCAACGGCAGCCGCCAACGACGGCGGCAACGACGTTGACGTCGACGTCGACGTCGATTGCGACGGTGACGGCGACGGCGACGGCGACGGTGACGACGACGACGACCACCGCGTTACTTCCCGACGACGACGACGACGACGGCGACGACGACATCGACGGCGACCACGACGGCGGCGACGACTTCGGCCGCGGCGTCAGCGACGGCGGTAACGAGAAAGAGGCTGGCTGCTCCTGTGCATCCCCTGGTGGCGTTCCAAGTGTGTTGGAGGAGAGGGCGTCCTTCCCCAGTGAAGCTCCTCTCCTCGGGGCCACGACAAGGCAGGGTGGCGGCGCAAGCCGCCGCCCCGGGCCATTCGCGATGTGGCATCGCGTCCCTCGCCCGCGGTGGGCGGGGGAGAGGGCAGGAAGGGCGGGGGAGGAGGGAGGAACGGACCACCCTGGAGCCTCGAGCCTCGAGCCTCGCACTCCCACCCAAGGGGGAGTGGGCAGGTGCAGCGCGGCAGGGCCCTCCCCCTGTCGGTGCGCAGCGGCCCCCGAGTGCACGCAGGCAGCGGAGCAGCCCGCCGGACAGCGGCGCCCAGCCTTCGAGCCTCGAGCCGCCGATCGACGGCGGCGATCCACCGCGACCACGGCCAAAGACGCCGGAGACCACCCCGACGATGGCAGCGACGACGTCCACGCCGACGCCGACGCCGACTGCCACGGCGACGACGACGACGTCGGCGGCGACGGCGACAACGACGACGACGACGACGCCGACGACGACGACGACGACGGCGACGACGACAGCGACGGTGACGGCGGCGGCGACGACGACGAGGACGAGGACGGCGACGACGGCGGCGACGTTGGCGGCGGCTGCGGCGGCCGCCACGCGCGTCAGCGGCGAGGCCACGGTGAAGGACGTGGTGGACATGCGCAAGTTCATGAGGGCGCAGGCCCTCCCCGGCGCGCTGGGGGGCGTCGCGCTCGACGTCGTATTGCTCGTTTTCATCCTGCTATACGGTGTCACGATGGTCGGGGCGTGGTGCTCCAAGCCGTGATGTTCATTGCATTGCTCATCTCACTCGTAGATGTGAGGCTGGTGGTGCTGGGTCTCGTCATGATACGCATCGTTGTGAGGCTTGGTGCAGACGTACTGCTCAGAGTCGAGGCGGTGGTCCCTGACGTGCTGCTCCAAGACGTGCTGCTCGTCGCACTGCTCGTCTTACTCGTAGCTGTGAGGTTGTTGGTGCTGGATGCCGTCGTGTTGTCGAACGCCGTAGTGCTCAACTCCGTCACATTCCCCGGTGTACAGGTGCTGGTCACAGCCGTGCTGCTGCAGGACGTGTTGTTAGATACCTTCTTCGTCTCACTCGTGAGTGTGGGTCTGCTTGAGTTGGAGCTCTTCGTGCTACTCGACGTCGTAGTGCTCGATTTCGTCTTTCTGCACGGTGCCACGATGGTTCCAGATGTGCCGCTCGAAAACTTGGTTCTTATTGTATTGCCGGTCTCGCTCGTGGATGCGCGGCTGCTGGTGCTGGATCCCGTTTTGGTGCGCGACGTCGTTGTGTTTGATCCCGTCGTACTCTACAGGGTCGTGGTGCTGGTCCCTGACATACTTCTCGGAGACGTCGTGCTCGTTGCACTGCTCGTCACAGTCGTGGGCGCAAGCCCCATGGGGCTGGCCGCGACCACTCGGGCGGGGAGGATAATGCGTGTGCTCGCCCTAATTACGTTTTTGGCCTGGTGCACTAGAGCGGTGCTCCGCGAAGCGTGGCCCAGTGGGTTCAGTGACACATACGAGCCAAAGCAAGCTAAGGGCCCTCGAGCTCTCCATGCCGGTCGGAGAAAGACAACAGTGCCGCATAACACACGCAATCCGTGCGCCCTTGTCGTAGCTGCGTGGGGAGGAGGGGTTGGGGCCGAGGGAGTAGCAGATTCCGCCCGCGCAGGCATCGCCCCCGCTGTTCGGTGCGTCGTCGGTCTCCTTCTTGTCCCCTCTTCCAGTCAGGAGCTCGTGGGGGTCGTCACGATGAACTCGTGCGGGGCCTGCTCAGCGTCATCATCCAGGATGCCGGGGAAAGGTGGACCGACGCGGGGTCGCGGTCCGCGTCGGTGTTTGCGGAGTTTGCGAAGGCGCTCCCGCTGCCGCGAACTAAGCCCCAGGGTGCCCGTGAGCCCTGTCGGTGCCGCAGCCGCTGGTGCGACGGCTGGCATCGGAGGCGCGAGCTCAGGCCCTGGCACGGGCGTCTGCATGTGCGCAGGCGGGCCTGGCGCCGCAGCCGTAGGTCACGCCGTTGACGAGTCTGAGGTCTCTGCTGACCTGGCCCCTGACGTTGGCGCAGCGTTACTCCTTACAGGCTGATGCGGGGATCGAGGGATCAAACTTGACGTGAACAGGGCGGCAGTATTTCGATTGGTTAACAGGACCACCCATTACTGTTTTTGATCGCCTGTGCGGCCAATGACGGTGCCGTGTTGGCCGAGAATTTGGGTGTTTAATCCCACTAGCCCTCTGGGCGTCGGTGGTTTAGAGAGTTTCCTCTTCCACCCCTCCTTCTTCACCTTCGAGGAGGGGTTTACCCCTCCCCCTACCCCGTCCCTGGACCTGGACAAGGGGGTTCCGCGAGGTGTCGGAGCGTCCAAAACGGCCTCGGCGAGGAAACCAAAATCATTGATTTTACTAGGGTTTGGGCCCCATTTTGGCCTCCTGGGGGGGACGCTAATTAGTACCCCCCCTCCTGTGATCGATCTCACCCAGGCTGGCCCAAAGATGGCCCCCAAGGCGCCCAAGGGTGCCCCAAGAGGGCCCCAAGAGGTGGCCAGGAAGCCCCAAGAGGCTCCCAGGAAGCCCCCAAGAGGCTCCCAAGAGACCCCCATGAGGCCCCAAGCGACCCCCCCGAGGCACCCAAGATGCTCCAAGAGGCCTCGGCGAGAATGTCATATCATTGATTTTATTAAGGTTTTAGGCACATGTTGGCCTCTTGGGGGGGGGGGGGGGGGGGGGGCACTGCTTGAGATGACTCCGAGAGCGCCTGGGAGAGCCCAAGATGACCTCCAAGATGGCTCAAGATATCCCAAGATGTCTCATAATGGCTTCCTCTGTGGGCTGCCCACTTCCCTGATCGAGGCAATTCCTTTGGGCACCGTTTCTGGATGGGCTGGTGGGGATTCGCGAAGCGTCAACAATTTGGTTGGAGACCTTGACCTCGGTGCTGCCTGTGGTGTCGGGACGAGGCATGTAGTGTCGGGCAGCGCTTCGGCCCTGGCGGCCCGGGCAGCGCTTCAGGCCCCCAAGCTACCTGGCACGTTGTTCGGCGGGTGAACCATCCTGTGGTGTTGGGCCCTCGTTTTGAAGAGATAGCGCCCGCGTTCCGCCTCTTCTCCTCTCCTCTTGCTCCTCCTCCTCCTCTTGATCCACCTCCTCCTTCTCCTCCTCCTTCTCCTCCCTCGAACGTATCATCTTCATTAACAGAGTGATTGGTGCTGCAACCAGCGGCATGGAATCCTACCTCCTCAAGGACACCGAATACAAGCGCCTCGACGCCGTTATTGCCACCTGCGCACGCGTACTCATGCAAGGCAAAGCCGCCAACATTGACGAAGCGGGCACCTACCGCACCATGGCCAACAGCGAAGTGTTCAAGCACTGCCACCTCTCCCCGATGTACATTGAGCTGCGAGTGAGGAGGCTGCGCATGATACAGGCCTCTGTCAAGTACCCGACAGACTATGATCAGTGGCTCATGGCACTCTTCGGTTCCATCAAGTTCGAGATCGACTACAATCGTGAGCACATCGGAGAGCTCGACGACAATGGACATCTCATCGCGGACGCGAGCCCCATGGCAAAGCAGTACTACAACGACGTCCTCTCCATCCTCGAGTTAGGCAGCGCCGAGGAGTTCAGCTACGCATGGGACGGGAGCATCACTCAACTGTACTACGACGCAGAAGTTGCAGCGGCTTTCATCAAGATCGACGTGGCAGAGCTCAGAGCCAGGGCAACAGCAGTAGCGATTCCACCTCCTGGCTTCGAGCCGCAACCACACGAGCAAGACCAACGAGCAGGAGACGAACTGGGTTACTACAAGTGTGAGTTGTTAACGGACGCGGGACAAGTCTTCGGCCGTGTTTTCCCAACATGGGCAGCGCTCTGTACCCATCAGACCGCGACAAAAGGAGGAGAGCACGGGCTTCGATCAGCAGCTGCAGCAGTCACCATCACCAATCAGTGTCCGCTCTGTCGTACCACGTTTCTCGATCGGGCCCAGGCCGAAGACCATCTGTTGCGATCTCTCAAACGCAAGCGCTGGATTGCCGACAACACTAGGCTTCACTATCCGTTGACACCGATTGAGAACCCAGTCTGTCCCCTCTGCCCACACCTGCATCCGTTTGCACACCTTTCAAGCTTCCAGGACCACGTTTGCACGCATCACCTCCCCGCCGCAGAACACGAGATTTCTATCGACATCGGCCTCTTTCAGGATGACTTGGTGCGTGCCAAACGAGAAGGACATCGAGGAGGTGGCGAGCAGCATGGCGGACACGGATCGCTCCAGCAAGCAGCGCAAGACTACGCACACCAAGGGCAAGGGCGGCCACCACAAGAAAGGCGCAAAGGCAGAGGGAAAGGACGCGGACGGGGATACCCATATGCAGGACAAGGAAGAGGAAGAGCAGCAGGGCGTGGCAAGCCCAGCAGCAGCCGCAGCTTCAGGCCAGCAAGTACGACGCCAACAACGAGGGGGAGAAGCCTACCAGACCAAGTGCGACCCCAAGCTGAAGAAGTTGCTCACAGTGCTGATCAAGCAAGTGCTGGCCAACACGCAGCAGATCGCCTGGGTCGTTTCCGCGGTATACAGCACGTACCTGATGCCGGCCCAGACCAAGGTAATCAAGGCGCTCCGAGCCTGCAGGAAGATCTGCGCGGACAAGTGCAAGGAGGCGGGCAAGGGACACTCGCTGGGACCACCAGAAGGACACCTCTACGTCACGCTTATTTCGACCCTCTGCTCCGAGGACGTGGGCGCCAAGACCAAGAGCATTCTCGCAGAGCACGGGAAGTTCGTGGACCAGGTCAGTGTGGCGACAGTCCTCAACAAGGTGAAGCACCTGAAGATCAGCAAGTGCTACGACAACAACCAGGCGAAGATCACACTGTATATCGAGCAGGGGCCCTGGACCGATGCGGAGGCCGAGGAGGATCCTTCAGAGGAGCAGAAGCAGCAGAGCAACACCAAGGACAGCATCCGCAGGGCGCTGATCCAAGCGGGAGCCACTGTGAAGACGGGCAAACCACCAGCGGGAGTCATGGAGGATGAGCTGGCTGCGTGGTTGGCAGGGCTATGGCTATGAGAATATGGATGGCCGGCTCGACTACGCCTCGTTCGGCAAGGTGATCGGCGTGCGTGGCGCCGCGATCACGATGAAGGTGCCGCTCTGAGCGGCGACGGCGGGGGCCCATCCTTGCGGCCGAACGCACTGCTACGCCCCCCTTATGCCGCTCTATCTATCTATCTACCTCCTTCTCCTCCCCGCCTCCTCCTCCTCCTCCTCTTCCCATCCTTCCCTCCATGCCTCTGCCCTCCACACCACTCAACCATTTCGGCACACTCCTCACACGCTTCGTGGCCACATAGGGAGCTTCACCGAGGGCCCCAATGGCTGCACTCGCATGGCACCACCGCACCCATTAAGGCACAACCTTCACACGGTTCGTGGCCACATCGGGAGTTCCACCGAGGGCCCCAGTGGCTGCAGTCGCATGGCGCCACCGCGCCCATGTCGGCACAACCCTCACACGCTTCGTGGCCCCATAGGGAGCTCCACCGAGGGCCCCAGTGGCTGCGATCGCACGGCACCACCACACCCATTTCGGCTCACCCTTTACACGTTTCGTGGCCCCATGGGGAGCTCCACCGAGGGCCCCAGTGGCTGTGCTCGCATGGCACCACCGCGCCCATTTTGGCACAAACCTTACACATTTCGTGGCCCCTTGGTCGTAGGCTGAGGCAGCCCAGTCTGCGCCGCCATTGCGTTGGAGAGCAGCAGTGCAGGCCTCCTGGAGCACGGGAAGGCTAACTGGACAGAAGGCTTGGAGGCTATTGTTTGGTGGTTTGGGCTGCATAAGTACATGAAGCACACGGCGAGGGCTCACAGGAACCGTTGCGGCGAGTGCAGGAATCTGGTTATGACGCGTTTCAATCGCACCGCGGGGCGCGGTGCGTCCAGTTCTGGCATGCGCGGAGGCATCTGATATCTGCTTTGAGGGTTTCGTGTCGCGGCCGCGCCCTGGCTCAGGGACCCTCGAGAGAGAGAGAGAGAGAGAGAGAGAGAGAAACAGAGAGAGAGGAGACGGCCTTCTGGTCGTCTTCCGCACAGGCCGCCCCGCTCCGCAATTGCCGCCGCCCGCCTCGCGCCGCCGTCGCGGCGCGCCGCCTCAACCAACCTCCCGCTCTTCATTCCCGTTCCTTCTCTCTTCTCCTCCTCCTCCTCCTCCTCCTCCTCCTCCTCCTCCTCCTCCTCCTTCTCCCCCTCCTCTTTTTTTTCCTGCCCCACCTCATCCTCCTTCCCCTGCTCCCTCCTCCCTTTGCTTCTGCCTCCTTCCTCCTCCCTCCCTCCCTCCCTCCCTCCCTCCCTCCCTCCCTCCGTCCTCCCAAGGTCCGCGGCATCCTCGACATGAGCAAGAAGACGACGGACGACGTGCTCAAAGAGGCAGGCGGGAAAACCTCCCCTCGTGGGCGGCAAACGTAACCGCATTCATGCCCTCGCGGTTCGGATTCCAGGGCGCGATCCCGTGGATACGCAGTCGCATGGATACACTCCGCGCGGGGCATCCGCGAGTAAACGCCCCGCACCCGCGGGTTCGCGGCCCAAGGGCCCGGCCCGCGAGGCTGTGGATACGGGTATGTTGTCCGCCCACGATCCCCGGACAGTTGGTTTGCGGCTTGGAGACTAAGTAAGTTGGCGGCCATTTGTTCAGCCTTTTTAGGCATCTGGTTGCTGGCTTGGGGGCCCCAGGACCAGCAATGGCTTATGAAGGGCGCGAGAGCGCATGTAAAAACGAAACATGCGCTGGATGTCTGGGCGGAGGTCCCTGGAGGCCTTCGGGGAGGTGCCACCAAATATTCGGAAACCTGGATGTTCGATATTTGTCTGCTGTCCGACGTGGGGGGAAGAAGAGGAAGACCAGAGTAACACCAGGATGCATCAACGCCCACCCCGCTTTTCTTTTTTCTGTTCCCATTCTTCCTTCCCGTAGTTGCCCCGCGGTGATCTTCGTCGCGTGCAGGCATCGAGGCGGCGCAGGATGCACCAGCTGGTGGCACAAGCAACGGGGCTCAGCCCCAACGGGGTAAGCCCAACTTGCCTCCGAGACCCTCTGGCCTATACCCAGTGCCTCCTGGAGCCGACCCACCCCTCCCCTCCCTCTGCCGCCCTGGGTCTGCAACAGCTGTTTCGTGGACAGCCCGGTGTTCGCGACGTGGCCCGGCGGCTGAGCCGGGCCTGCGCTTGCGCGGGGTCGCGGGTCCCCGATCACCGCATGCGGTTAGTTTTTCGACCGCACGTGAGAGTGACCCTTCGCCGGAGTGACCTCTGGTGCGGGCTCCGAGGGCCCCCCACCCCACCAGCCAGCCAGCACGCTTGGACTTGGCCCCTCCCGCGGCCCCAGAAGCCGCGCACTACAGATCACCTTTGCCCAGGATCGCTCGTACGTGTAGCCGAGATTCCTAGCCCCGAATCCCAGGGAGTCCGCCCGACAAGTTAGGCCGCTCAGAAAGGTGGAGGGAAGCTCGGGGATGCACCCCGAGGGGGGCGATCCAGGCGCACCCAGGAGGGGCGCTCCCCTCTCCGTCGTGTATCTCTGAGCTTGGCCTCGCGGCTTCGTTTCGGTCTGGTCGAAAACCCGCCCAGGTCGGGGTCGCTATAAACCCTCTGTTTGATCAGCGACGTTGCGTCGCCCCCCCCATCTCACGTCCTCTCCTTCTTGGGGTCCCTGCAGGAGCCCTGCTTTCGGACGGCGCTAGGACGAGTTTGAATCCGTTCCAGCATTTTGGAGCGCTCTTAGTGCGTTCCAGCGTTCCAGAACGCTCTGAGAAGACCGCGGCGCCCGAGATATCTTCCAGAACCGCCAGCTCTCAGAGATGTCCGATGTATCTTCGCCCGAAGTTAGTCGCTTTCCACTCGTACATACGCAACGCTTGGAGGTCCCAAGCCGCAGGCCCATAAGGTTTAAGGCAGTCACACGGCGAAGCGCGCGGACCGCCTTGCCAGCACGGTCAGCCGTTCGAAGAGGATGAGCAAGGCAAGGACAGGGGCTGGAGGAGAAGGAGGAGGAGGAGGAGGAGGAAGAGGAGGTCCCAGACATCTGGCGCTTCGGACCTCTCGACACCTTCCCCAGGGCAGGCGCTCGCCCCCGTGTCTGTTCACCGGCCCCCAGGCCCGAAGCTGGCCTCCAGACGCCAAGCATTGCAACAGGCTGGCCCTCTCGATAGTTTCGGTGCGCCAGGAGGAGGAGGAGGAGGAGGAGGAGGAGGAGGAGGAGGAGGAGGAGGAGGAGGAGGAAGGGGAGGAGGAACGGGAGGAGGAACGGGACGATGAGAAGGGGCATTTTGGCGAGCTTGGGGCCGTCTTTGAGCGTCTTGGGTGCCTCGGGGATCTTCTTGCAGCCTCTTGGGGGTAGCCACTTGCAGGCATCTTGGGCGTCTCTTGGGGCGCTCTTGAGAGCTGCAGGGGCGCTCTTGGGGCCACCTTGGAGGATATCGACCAAAAAACAGGGAAGCTTCAATCAGGACCCGCCCCCCTTGGGAGCTCAAAAAGTCGCCTCTCGGGGCGCTTTTGGGGCGCTTTTGGGGCGCTCTTGGAGCCCTCGTGGGCGATCTTGGGGCCTTTTTGGGGCTATCTTGGGTCTCTCCCGGGGCCCTCTTGGGCCATCTTGGAGCCATATTGAGGCCCAGGCGAGATAGCAACAAACATTAATTATCATACCTACCGGTGTGATCTCGCACTGCATGATTTCGACCGACCGACCATGCCCCCCCCCACCCCCTCCGCCCCATGGACCCCCATCTGCGCCCGTAGTTGTATAATCTTTGGCGCACGTGCCTATTGCTGTCCTTAGGTTTTGGAAGGATTTGTGCCTCTTCGGGGCCTGCTTGGGGAGCACCTTGGCCACCTGGAGCCGTCTTGGAGCGGTCTCAGGGCCTCTTGGAGCATATTGGGAGCCATCTTGAGGCATCTTGGGATAGCTTGAGCCATCTTGGAGCTCATATTGGGATTTCCGAGGCGCTCTTGGAGCCATCTTGGGCCATCTTGGACGCTCCAACCCCTCGGGGGACCCCCGTCCAGGTCCAGGGTTGGGGGTAGGGGGAGGGATCAAGCTACCCACCCGCCCGCAAGCCGTCTAGCGCACTCCCACCCGCCCTCCCAACACATAAGTAACACCCGAACCTGAGCATGTTCAGCGGTCGTCTTTGGATGGGCAGCAACTGGAACCAAAGCCGCGCCCCAGGTGCTCGACGCTCGGGCGAGGTGCGCCACGCGTGCCAGCGCCACGCGCGCCAGGCACCCCTGGGGCCCGAGCGTGCCAGGCACGCCTGGTGCGCCAAATGCGCCTCGTGCTCCGAGTGCGCCATGTGTGCAGCACACTCCAGCCGCGCAAGGTGCGCCACGTTCGGGGCACGTGCAGAGCACGTCAGGTGCGCCTGCGCACGTGACAGCTAACATCGGGAAACATGCCGGCCCCCCGCCATCCTTGTCGAAAGCCAATGCTCATCATTTTGTCTGATGGGTTTGCGCACAGCAGGCCACGCGCCGCCACCTCCGTCGTCCCTGTCAAAAAAAACAGTTCACAGTGATCGAGGGATGACTGCGTATGATCCAGATATAGTTGCGAGGTGCATGTTGTATTGTTTTTTGTTGTCAGGGATGGCAGCCTTACGCGCAGCAGGGATATGCTGACACCCCCGCCGCCCCTGACAAAAACAAAAAAGGGGTGCTCGAGGGCCTCACGAACATGTCTCAAGACTTTGCCCCAAAGGGTACTGTGCATTTGTTTGACAGGGATGGAAGGGGGGGCGCATCGGGTTGGCCGCGCATGCTCCAAATGTGGAAGCCGAGTGTGGTTTGTATTGTTATTGACAGGGATGGTGGGGGGCGGGTCCGGGTTGGCCGCCGGCCAGGTGGGGGAGGGGGTGTATATTGATAAGGAGCAGTGGCAAACCCCTCCCCGAAGGGGCAGAGGGGCACATGGACGACAAAACGCTCTAGACCACCTATGCCCTAAAGGGCTGGTGGGATTTGTGCAGATGGGTTGGTGTTTCCCTGGGCCCCTTGAGGACAACGGCGAACGCGCAGGCGGGAGCAGCACTGGCCTGCGCGGCTTGACGTGATGCTCGGGGCCGCTCTCACACGCAGCGGGCCCCCCGGAGAGCTCCAGGGCCCGGGCCCACGGGGCGCGGAGGGGCAGGTGGTCTTGACAGTGAAACGTCTCAGGATGTCCCTCCTCCTCCTCCTCCTCTTCCTCTTCCTCCTCCTCCTCCTCCTCCTCCTCTTCCTCCTCCTCCTCCTCCTCCTCCTCCTCCTCCTCCTCCTTTGACGCTACTCAGCTGCTAGCCGCGTCCTCCTAGTTTCACCCATGCTGGGTTTCAGGCATGGCTTTTCGAAGTCGTGTCCGATACTGGGGCGCGCAGGTGCCCAGGATGTCCCCGTGCTCGGTAATTGGAACAGATACAAGACCAGTGGCGGGTTTTCCTTCAATCCTGGGACATGTTGAGGGTCGAGGGCGACGTCGGGGTGGTGTGGCGTATGTTTCTGGTCCCCGTTTCCCAGGAAACGCCGAAACATGTGTACACCCCGTGTATACCAGGATGCGTTTTCGTGCGCAGTTGTCAATGCAGGGCCAGAAATACAAGCGTCGGTGTATAGAGTTTGGTTCCCTACATGTCCCCTAATGTTCCACACGCGTTGCAGGAACCAGGGCCGCTAACTACTCCAGACCTCTTGGAACGTATCCTTAGCAGGCCGCATCATGACAGTATTCTCGTCCTCCGATCTCCTGGGGGCCACCGGGTTGTGCGCGAGGACAACCGCGGGCAAGATGCCTGGGATTTCCCATGCTCTAGATGTTGCGCACGGGTTGCAGAAACGAGGGCCGCCAGCGCCGCTAGAATTCTAGAGTTCCTGAAACGTATCATGAGCTATCTGCCCATCATCGGCGGCGAAACCGGGGGGGGGGAAGTGAGAAGAGGCGGGCCTTCTCAGAAGGTACGGAAGTCCCCTGGCCTTCTGAGGAGTGTCCTAAGCCTTTCGCGAAGGCACAAACAATTTCTCAGAAGGCGCGTGGGCTTCTAATATGAGAAGGCCGTCTCCTTCTCACTTCCCCCCTCGCTCGCCGCCGATTGGTATTCTAGAATTCCTGGGGCGTATCCTGAGCCATCTCCCGCTCGCTTCTTCCTATTCCCTCGTCGGCAGCACGCTCGCTCATCTTCCAGGCCACGGTCCAGTGCATGAGTTTGCCTATCGCAGGTCGGTTCGTGTGGCATTCCCGGTTTGCATGGTGGTCTTCTGATTCGCACGGCGTTGGAGGCCGAGTCGGGGGATGCTCAGTGTTCGCGCCCCCTCCTGCCAGGAGGAGCAGGAGAAGAAGGGAGGAGGAGGAGGGAAGAGGAGAAGGAGGAGGAGGAGAAGGAGCCAATCGCATCATGACGTCAGCCTCCTCCCACAATATCTCTTGGGCCATTGGGGCGGGCGCGAGGCAACCGCATGCAAAAGACACCCTCTGTCCACCCCAAGTCCCGCTGCGTCTATTCTCGAGGGGTCCACAACGGCTGGGTTTGGGGGGGCAGTCTTTCTGCCTGCGTGAACATCACACTGGCCACAGGTGGGGGCTCTCGGACAGGAGGCGTCCCCTTCCTGTCCTCGTCTTCCGTCGTGACCACCTCCGACGGCAAATCGATCCCAGGGCGGGGCCCTCCGGCCCCACGGAAGCCGTTGGCAGAGGGGGCCCCTGTGCGTACACAGAGGTGAAGCGGATAGAGAGCATGGAGACGAAGCTTGACACCATGCTGGCGGGACTTGACATCAAGGACGCGAAGAAGGCAGCGGCGCCTCTTGGCCGATGGGAGCACACAGAACGCACATGGGTATACGATGAGAGGCGCGTGACGAGACGGAGGAGAAGGAGGAGGAGGAGGAGGCGGACGAGCAGGTAGGAGGTGAGATGCAGCACCACGGTTGGTCGCCACTGGTCTGGACCTCTGGAGGTCCAAGGAGGCTCCTGGAGGCTTCCGCAGGGTTGGTTCGTAGTCAGTACAAACAGAAAGCTTGGAAACGTGTTCTTCGATCCCCGAGCGTCGAGGGCAAATTTGGCAGCAGGGGCAGGTGGAGGAGGAGGAGGAGGAGGAGGAGGAGGAGCAGAGCAGCAGCAGCAGGAGGAGGAGGAGGAGGAGGAGGAGGAGGAGCCGAGAGGAATGACAACATGCGTTGTTTCATCTGTCCTTGGCCCGAGGGCCGCAAGACGTGCGGTTGCACCGACCACCCGGAGGAGAAGGAACAGGAGGAAAAAGCAGGGAGGATGACGAGGAGGACGGGGAGGGGGCAGGAAGACGAGGTGGAGGGGGAGAAGGAGCAAGAGGATGAGGGGGAAAGGGGGACAGAGGAAGAGAATACTTAGCAGGTGGCTGGCGGGGCAGACCAGGACAGAAGACGATCTAGAGAGGAAGAGAGAGAGAGAGAAGGAGAGAGATAGAGGGAGGGAGGGAGGGAAAGACATAGAGACATATGTAGAGGGGGTGAAGTACGACGGAGGATAGGAGGGATTAGGGGTGATGAGTGGCAGCTGGAGGGAGGAGAGCAGGAGAACCGGAGAGGTGGGAGGAACCCGAGGCCCGAGGGCGGAAGCAGCGGCGGCAGGAGGAGGCAGGTGGGGTGGGTGCGTAGGAGAAGCAGAGGGAGCTTGGACGGAGGAGGATGCGGAGGAGGAAGTGAGGGGGAGGAACGGAGGAGGATAATACTGATCGGGGGAGAAGGAGCAGGGACGGAAGCGAAGGAGGAGCAGGGATGCAGGAGAAGAAGGAGGAGGAGCACGAGGTGGAGGAGCGGGAGGAGGAGGAGGAAGTTTGTGTATTCCCTTCCGCTGCTCACAGAGCACATCGCGAGCAGCCGTCGAACCGAATCGGAAGCGTCGGAGGAATTGACTCGGGCGGGACCCTGAGGAGGAGGAGGAGGAGGAGAAGGAGGAGGACGAGGAGGAGGTGGTGTGTGGACTGCCCACACACCTGTAATTTCCGTCGTCTGTGGTGCTGCCCTCGTTTCTCTCGTGCCATCGTTTGCTCTTCTCTTTTGTCGTTCCCCTCTTGCCCCATCGCTCGTCTTGGCCTCACTGCGCCCTCTCGCTCGTCTCTGCTTCCCACCATCCACGCCTTTCTCCTTCACCATGAATTCCCAACCCCGATCAGCAAGCGCCGCCAAAGGCAGGCCGTTCGATATGCGCGGCATCAGGTCGCCCGCCCGTCAGTGAGATGATCGAACTTGTTCCGCCTCGGGTACGCTCGAGGTCGGATTGCACAAGAGAGGATAACACACAGCGAGAAAGAGAGAGAGAGGCAGAGAGAGATGGATGTGAACGGCCAGAGAGAGAGAGAGAGACATGAGAGAGAGATATATGGAGGGGGAGGTATATACACATAGAGAGATATAACATATACATACCATTTATTTATGTATATATATACAGAGAGACAGAGATATATACATATATACATATTTATAAATGTATATAATGGTATAACTGTAGGTATATGTATGTTTATGTGTGTATGAATGGTTGGCTTCACATATCTGTACACATGTATATATAAATATAAGTGTACACATGCAGAGCATGATATTGCAGTAGTCGAAATGCAGTTCGGTATGTACAACCTGTGAGAGAGTGTGTGAGAGAGCGAGAGCGAGAAACAGACAAATCTGTACACATGTATACCTAGAGATACAAAGAGCAATACCTGTGCACATAGGGAGAGAGAGAGAGAGAGCGCGAGAGAGAGAGAGAGACAGAGCGAGCGGGGGTGGCAGAGAGAGAGAGAGAAAAAAGAGAGAGAGAGAGAGAACCAAAAACACGACGGGACTGCGTGGTCTGGGCGGCGGCGCGGATCTGCCAGCTCGACCTCTGGCGATGTCTCGACGAGAACAGTGCAAAGCTGCGGCGGCGGCTCCGTCAACCACGCGCGGCGCTGTGGCAGCTGACCTTGACGAGGCACGTCTGCCAGTCGGCGAGGAGGGCGCCCAGTGCGTGCGCTGCGGCAGGAAGGCCTTCACGGCCAAGGCGAAGGACCCTCCAGACCAGAGGCCCTGCAAGCCGACCGTGCTGGGTCAGATGAGGGCCGATGCCACAGCGCGGGCCGCAGATGCGAGCCTTCTGGTGGCCAGCTCGACAGCCGTACAGGCAGGGCTCCAGGCGGCCCAGGCCTTGAAAACGCCAGCGAGGTGCGCGAGGGGCCGCTTTCGGCCACCCAGCAGAAGTCCTCGGCCCAGCCTGCCTGCGGCACGACGCAGGCCAAGAGTAACCTCCTCCTGAGCGCGGCGACGGGGGCCTCACGCTACTTCAGCGCACGCCTGGAGCCCTGCACGTATCAAGCAAGTAAGCTGGACTTCGGCGCCGAGTGCGGCAGCGGTGCTACCGACGGCGCTCACCGGGCCCCGAGCTTGCTCGACGGCGACAGCTAGTGTTGCCGGATCCGCTCACCAAGACCCTGGCGCGTGAGCAGGAAGACGGAGAAAACCCAGGTTTACGACCGAAAACCAACGAATCTTGTTGCGAACCCTGGGCTCGGGCCAATCGCACATGCGGGGCAGGCTGCTGGGGAGTGCGAGCAGGTCCAGGCAAGTCTGAAGCCTGTCGGGGACGGCGTAAAGGCGGCGCCGTCAGATGTGGATCAGGCCGGCACCGTGGCCAAAGTGCAGACGGCAGCGCTGCGGCGGCCCCCCTTCGGCTCGGGAACCCGCTGAGCGTCAAGACCCCGGCGCGTTCGAGGCCGTCATGCCGCTGCAGCACCTCGAGGACCTCGAGGGCGACCCCGTCCGGGGCAGCGCCGACCCTGGCCTCACTGGTGCAGAGGGGATGCCTCGGCGAGCACGGCTGCAGCCGTCGGAGTGGAGCCGCAGCTGGAGGCCAGCCTGTCAGGGGACGATTCCCCCGACCACCGTCGAACGCCTTTGAAAACCTTTATTGCCGACGCGAGGACATCGTCATCGTTACTGGCGGACGTAACAACATCGCCGCCGGCATTGGCCTCGCCGTCGTCATCGCCGCCATCGTCTGGTGCTGGTGTCCCAGGAGGCGAGTACAGCACGGCGCACTCCGCTGGGCCACAGGCCGCGGCGGCGCTGCCGGCGGCTGCAGCGGCTGCTGGAGCCACAGCCGCGGCGGCGGCGAGCCCTGCGGCCGCGGAGGGCGGAGGCGGCAAGCCAAGGGCGCGCTTGCGGAGCCCACCAGCGTCCATTGCACCCCGCCGTGGGCAGGCGGCGGAGAGGCGGGAGGATGACCACTGCCTTCTGAAAAATTGTCTCGGCCTTCCCCGAAGAAAAAACACTTCCCAGAAGGCGCGAGGGTTTCGGAAGAGTCCCGCCGCCATCTGAGGATGCCTTCTCCTTCCCACTTACCCCCTCGCTCGCCGCCGATGTTATATACGCTAGATTTCCTGGAACGTGCAGTGGAGACCCATGCCAAGGAGCACCCTGCTTGCCTCCAGGGTGCCCTGGGTTTCTTGGGCCTTGATGGTTTTACCATGGAAAGCGTGCCAGACGGATGATGTTGCAATGGTTTTGCCATGTTTCGATGGTTTTGCCATGGTTTTGCACTGGCTTCCACGCCGAACATCAGTGGACGTCCTGGGGTCTCAGGGTTGGGTTTCTTTGGACGGTTTCTGGTGGATTGGCATCCACTGCACAGCGACGCGGACGAGAAGGAGGAGGAGGAGGACAACGAATAGATAAATAACTATATATAAGTATAAATATATATATATATATATATATATATATTAGGAAGAGAAGAGGAGGAGGAGGAGGAGGAGGTGGAGGAGGAGGAGGAGGAGGAACCGGAGGAGGAGAAGGAGGAGGAGGAGGAGGGGGAGGAGGAGGAGAGGGGCAGGAGGAGGAGGAGCAGGAGGAGGAGGAAGACTGGCCTCCACTGTATCCTGAGCCATCTCCCCCTCGCTTCTTCACCTCCCTTCGCCTGCGGCCTGGCCGACCTCGGGCACGCGGCCCAGACGGCGGGCCCCATGCAGCTGCTGTCGCTGCCGTGGTGGCCTCGCCAGCCCTTGGCGGCCACGACAAAACCTAAGGGCGTGGGCCGGGGAGGGCGGAGTGTGAGTTTGACGCTTCGGGTCCTCGAGGCCCACTAGCTTGCCTGAGAGGGTATGGAAGGGAGGAGGGAGTGTTCTCGAAATCTGATCCAGACATGTGATCTGGACCTTCTGTGGGCAAGCTAATGGGCCTCGAGGGCCCGAAGCGTCATGCTGACTTGACTGGCGTCTTCCCCCCGCCCCGTCCCCTCCCCTCTTTTCGAGGATCGACATTATGGTGTGGTGTTCTCCTTGTGCGAGCCTCTTTGAGGCTCCTCGTCGCCGCGGCTGGATTCCCCCTCAAAAAACCTTGGCCACAGCGCACTCCAAGAGAGGTCTGGGGGGGTGATGATTCAGGGTCGCCATTCAGGCAGGCTTATGATGGTAGATCGTTCCAGCGCTCTGGTACAGCCGCAGTGACCGACACAGAGATCCCCGATGTATCCTCATCCGAATGTGCTCTCAACCGACCTTCGTCTCCACATGAGCGGAATGGGCCCCGAGGTGTCTCGCGGTTTTCGGGCTCCCGGGGTCCCTCCCTTTTCCTTTGGGTTGTCTGCAAGTTGGCCAGGACGAAGGGCTGGTTCCGAGGAAGACCCTGGGGTCCATGACCCGCGAGCGCTTGCGAGCGCTGCCCCAGCGGGTCCGATCGACGTTGGGGTACCAGACACCCCCGCTGGCGTGCCCCTGGTTGCAGAGGTCCTTCGAATCTTGCACCCTGAGCGATTTTAAGAACTCGGACCTGCAGGGGTAGAGGTCACACGTGGTTGCCTACATGACACGCGTCGCCCTGCCTGCCCCGCTCGGCAATGCCCCGCGTCCTCTGCCGCAGTGCCCCACCACCACTGGCGCGGAGAACATGATGAGGAATGTCATCTCGGCGAATAGCACCAGGGACCACGAACGGGATACAGGTGCGGAAGGGAGTCCCACCCCCCAATTTCAATGGTGGTTGGACCTTGCATATGCCTCTTCCCGTTTTTTCTTCCTGTTCCTCCCCCCTGCTCCTCCTCCTTCTTCTATTCCTTCTCCTCCTTCCCCTTAAGCTGCTCCTCATTCCTCCCCCCTCCTCTTCACTTCACCTCTCCCGCATGATCCTCCTCCCTCCTTCTCCTCACCTTTCTCCTCTGTCCGCTTCCTCGTACTTCTCTTCGTTATTATCATTGTATTATTCCATCCCTACGTAAGGCAGCACCCAGGCAACCAAAAGGAAGCCACGGCCTGATTGGAGGCGCTGAGGCAAGGAGGATCATTTGAAAGAGACTCGCAGTAGCAGGTGGCCGCGGCAAAGAGAATCGTTTGAAAGAGACTCGCTGTAGCAGATGGCCTAGGCAGAAAGAGACTCGCAGTTGCGGGGGCATCTGCTGGCCAGAGACACGCTGATTACTTGGACGAACGAACGGGTACAAAGATGAGGGCGACGGTGACAAGAAGGAGCAGACGAAGACGACGTAGAAAAAGCATGGCGAGGATCAGAGGAAGGCGGGAGCATGAAGGGAAGGATAATCAGGATCACTAGCTGGGAGAGGATGATTATGATTATCATTAGTACCATATAGGCGTAATGCTAGGAAGAGAGACAGGGAGGCACGAGGAAACGGATGATGATGATGATGTTGATGATGATGATGACGCTGATGAGGATGATGATACTGATGATTGTTGTATTAGTATGATGATGATAGTGATGGTTGTGTTGTTGATGATGATGAAGATTATGATGATTATGAGTACAGTGTGTGTGACGCTGGTGGTGATAGCGGTGGTGATGGTGACGAGGACGACGACCACGACGACGACGGAGACGATGACGATGATGCCGATGATGACGATGTTGATGATGAGTATGAAGACGAACATGATGATAGTGATGATGATGAGGAGGATGAGGATGGTGATTATGATGAGAATGAAGAGGACAATGGTGATGATGATGAGGAGGAGGAGGAGGAGGAGGGCGAGGATGAGGAGGATAAGGATGAGGGCGATGATACATGGTGAGGATGAGGAGGACGAGGAGGATGCCGTCAAGGAGGTGGGAATGACGATCGAGATGGGCCTCCCATCGGCTGTCGATCGGGGGCAGGCCAGAGACCCGCCCTCGCGTCTCCTGTCCGTTTATCGTCTCCTTCCCTCCGCCGTCCAGGATGTTCCGGACGTCTCAAAGCGCCCAGTTCCTCACCTTCTCCTCTTCTTCATCCTCATCCTTCCCCTCCCTCCCTTCCCCTCCTCGTTCTCATCCTTTCCCTCCTCCTCCCATCTTCCTCCTCCTCCCATCCTCCTCCTCCCATCGTGCTCCTCCCGCTGCTCCGTCTGCAGCTCCTGCTGCTGTTCCTCCCCCTTTTCCTGCTGCTCTTGCCCACTGTTGCTGCTCCTCTGCTGGTCCTCCGGCCGCCACTCCTGCTGCTCTTCCTGTTGCTCCTCCTGGTGTTCCTGCTGTTCCTGCTGCTGGTCATCCCTCTGCTCCTCGTGATGTTCTTTTCATGCTGCTTTTGCAGCAGTTCCCATTGGTCCTCCTGCTCGCCCTCCTGCTGCTTCTCCTGCGGCTCCTTTCCTTTTCTCATGCTGCTGCTCTGGCTACTCCTCCTGCTCTCTTCCCTGCTACTTCTCCTGACGCTCTCGTTTATTTGATGTTCCTCCTGCTCATGCTCCTCCTACTGCTCCTCCTCCCCCTCTTCCTCCTGCTCCTCCTGATTATTCCGTGCTGCTTCTTTAGTCCTCCTCCTGCTGCTCCTTCTGCTATTCCTGTTTTGCTGCTCAGGTGTTCCTCCTGACTGGTCACCTTGCTCCTGCTATTGCTGCGCCTCCTGCTTCTCTGGTGCTCCTCCCGTTCCTCTGTCTGCGCCTCCTAATGCTCTTGTTGCTGATCCTCCTGCTGCTCCTCCACTTGATCCTGCTGGTCATCCTGATGCTCCTTTCTCCACACAATAGGAATGCCCATGGCGTGTTATAGAAATGCAATGCACTAGGAACACAATACTTATAGGCTCGGGATACAATAGTAACATAAGGATTACTGGCCGGCCGCTCTGCGGTTGATCGGGAGTTTCTGTATATAGAAGAAGGTGCGTGCGCTTGTTGGCGAGGGTGAGGATGAGGTCCTCCTCCTCCTCCTCCTCCTCCTCCTCCTCCTCCTCCTCCATCCTTCTCTTGCCTCCGTCTGTCCTCCTCCACCCCACAGCTCCAACATCTTCTCCTCCTCCTCCTCCTCCTCCTCCTCCTCCTCCTCCTCCTCCTCCTCCTCATTCCTCCTCTGGGCACCTCCCCCGGGGCGCGGATTCCCGGATAGCTCCTTGGAGAGCTAAGGGTTTCAGAGAAGAAGCCGGAGGTGGGTGGTGAGGGGGACACGCCTACTTCTGCCGGTCCACGATCCCCGCAGCGACTCGCCGCGGCTTGCAGCGTGTCCGGGAGCGTGGCTTTAGCTCGTTTTTCCAATACGCGTGGCTCCAAGGGTGGCGAAGCGCTTCGGCAGAGCTTCGGCAGAGCTTCGCCAGTGCTCGCAGGCTCCTAGGCAGAGGCGTCGTGGTAGGTTTCACAGAGCCCCGCGGGTTGTAAAAGACGCCCCCGCAGGTTTCTCCTGCGAATTTTCCAGCGCTCCACGCATCGTTCCAGGCGGCCTGGCAGAGGTCGCCGTGCGCCGCTTTCGAGCGCTCTGCGCTCCGCGCCTTGCCTCGCTATCCGGGTTTTGGACGCTTACAAGTTCCTCCTCTGGGCACCTCCCCCGGGGCGCGGATCCACCGGATCTGTCCGGATCTGTCTGGAAACGGTGCCGGAGGCCGCTCTGGGCTCCTCTGGGCACCTCTCCCGGGGCCGGTTTTGTGAGGATGTCTCAAGCGAGGGCGCCGGTTTGGGATTCGTCGGCGGATCCAGCGGATCTGTGCGGAAACGGTGCCGGAGGCCGCTCTGGGCTCCTCTGGGCACCTCCCCCGGGGCCGGTTTTGTAAGGATGTCTCAAGCGAGGGCGCCGGTTTGGGATTCGTCACCGGATCCAGCGGATCCACCGGATCTGTCCGGAAACGGTGCCGGAGGCCGCTCTGGGCTCCTCTGGGCACCTCCCCCGGGGCCGGGTTTTGTGAGGATGTCTCAAGCGAGGGCGCCGGTTTGGGATTCGTCACCGGATCCACCGGATCTGTCCGGAAACGGTGCCGGAGGCCGCTCTGGGCTCCTCTGGGCACCTCCCCCGGGGCCGGTTTTGTGAGGATGTCTCAAGCGAGGGCGCCGGTTCGGGATTCGTCGGCGGATCCACCGGATCCACCGGATCCACCGGATCTGTCCGGAAACGGTGCCGGAGGCCGCTCTGGGCTCCTCTGGGCACCTCCCCCGGGGACGGTTTTGTGAGGATGTCTCAAGCGAGGGCGCCGGTTTGGGATTCGTCGGCGGATCCACCGGATCCAGCGGATCTGTCCGGAAACGGTGCCGGAGGCCGTCTGGGCTCCTCTGGGCACCTCCCCCGGGGCCGGTTTTGTGAGGATGTCTCAAGCGAGGGCGCCGGTTTGGGATTCGTCGGCGGATCCACCGGATCCAGCGGATCCGTCCGGAAACGGTGCCGGAGGCCGCTCTGGGCTCCTCTGGGCACCTCCCCCGGGGCCCGTTTTGTGAGGATGTCTCAAGCGAGGGCGCCGGTTTGGGATTCGTCACCGGATCCAGCGGATCCAGCGGATCCGTCCGGAAACGGTGCCGGAGGCCGCTCTGGGCTCCTCTGGGCATCCCCCCCGGGGCCCGTTTTGTGAGGATGTCTCAGGCGAGGGCGCCGGTTTGGGATTCGTCACCGGATCCAGCGGATCCAGCGGATCCGTCCGGAAACGGTGCCGGAGGCCGCTCTGGGCTCCTCTGGGCACCTCCCCGGGGCCGTTTTGTGAGGATGTCTCAGGCGAGGGCGCCGGTTTGGGATTCGTCACCGGATCCAGCGGATCCAGCGGATCCGTCCGGAAACGGTGCCGGAGGCCGCTCTGGGCTCTCTGGGCACCTCCCCCGGGGCCGGTTTTGTGAGGATGTCTCAAGCGAGGGCGCCGGTTTGGGATTCGTCACCGGATCCAGCGGATCCAGCGGATCGGATCTGTCCGGAAACGGTGCCGGAGGCCGCTCTGGGCTCCTCTGGGCACCTCCCCCGGGGCCGGTTTTGTGAGGATGTCTCAAGCGAGGGCGCCGGTTTGGGATTCGTCACCGGATCCAGCGGATCCGTCCGGAAACGGTGCCGGAGGCCGCTCTGGGCTCCTCTGGGCACCTCCCCCGGGGCCGGTTTTGCGAGGATGTCTCAAGCGAGGGCGCCGGTTTGGGATTCGTCACCGGATCCAGCGGATCCGTCCGGAAACGGTGCCGGAGGCCGCTCTGGGCTCCTCTGGGCACCTCCCCCGGGGCCGGTTTTGCGAGGATGTCTCAAGCGAGGGCGCCGGTTTGGGATTCGTCACCGGATCCAGCGGATCCGTCCGGAAACGGTACCGGAGGCCGCTCTGGAGTCGTGCTCTTCGCGCCGGGGGTGAGGATGACGTGAGTTCCACAGAAACTCCCTCAAACAATCGTAATACCACACAGTAGAATACAAGAGGTATACAATAGGCATGCGACCGGCATCCAATAGACACGAGGTTAACGTGTGAAAAGCGTTGTTTGGAAATTCGTTGCATCAGCTCCAAGACTGGCGTTTTACAGTACACAGTCCCCGAAGGCGACGCTTGGTGCGTCACGAAGGCGACGGGGTAGCTTACTACTGTTATTTTTACGGCGACTACTACTACTACTACTACTACTACTACTACTACTACTACTACTACTACTACTACTACTCCTACTGCTACTGTTCTTACTACTCGTAATATCTGATTACTACGACTACGACTGGTACTACTACCACTACTATTACGGCGTGTTTAATGTCTACGTTTACTATTACTTTCACGCTTTTTAACTGTAGTAC